TAGACATAGTTCAGCTCTGACAATGTAATTAAATAGAAATTCTAATGATTATTTTAGTACCCTCACTTAACGCACACGTTTAGTAATTGTTTAAAGATTTGGCCGAATGTAATTTCAATTACTGACTATCATAATACTTAAACCTTGAATACGGAGAACGGATCATAACATTAAAATGGGATCTATTAATAATTTACCTTTTCTTTTTCCATCCACCCGCCTACTACAACACATCTCTTCCTCATCACCGACTTTTATCAACATTCTCCAAAACATTTCATCAAACATCAGAGGAACACAGAAAACTCCAAATCCACAACTAATTAAAGCAAAATAAAATATAAAAAAAAAAAACTAGCATTTTATGACAAACAAATTACAGAGAGATAGATGCAGTATAAAATTGTTGATTTTGAAAAAGGGGCTTATTTTGTCAATATTATCATTGCAATCCATCAAACAAATTAATTGATGATATCAGTCAATAGTGTTAATTAACCTAACAGCTAGCTAATGGATAAAGCAAATTGTAATGAGATTATAAATTTTAAGAAAAAAAATGTAAATTGCAGAAGGTATTTTTATTAAGGCCAAATCTTAGGGGTGCAAATTTGATTCATCCTATTTTGTTTATCTCCCTACAACCTTATAATTTATAATTCAAAAATAAACATTTATTTAAAATAATTTCCAAAAATGCAATACACACTTGGCATGTTTGATTGCCTCACAATTGGTGGGATTGAAAATGGAAGAAATTTGTGAGACCTATTGAATTGTTAGTTTAGTTGTGAGAGGGTATTTTGTGAGACCATGAAATATCCTCTCACATGGATTGTTGGTGAGATTCAACGAAGACAGCTCCATGAATTTGCAAGAGATAAATCTGGTTGATGCCACCCAATCGAGGTTACCGGCCGGAGACACTCCGATGATGAAGTTAGTATCTATGAATGAAGAATTAAGAATTGTAAAGAGTGTTTGGTGTTCTGTGTGTAGCAGAGAGAGATCATACCTATATGTTATGAGGTCCCTTCCTATTATAGACAGGGATGGGCCGAATAAGCCCAATAGTTGGCCATTTGGCAGGCCTTGTTTGGATTAGCTCAATAAGTTGATATATATTTTTTAATGACTCCGACATTAGTATTTGATTACGGAATGAAAAGAAAGAGATTTAAGGTGAAAAATATGTAAGTCCTACCGAATAGTCCAATCTTATATTTGTTTTGGATGGTATTAAATTCCAGATAATTTTAATAATCGTATAGATAATTAAATAGAGGAAAGCGAGGGATGAGGTAGTGTGGTGTTAGAAAGATTAGACTTCTCCGAATTATTTTTTCTTTCATCCAATAGAAATGATTAAATCTTTTATTTATCATCACTCCTTTGATCCAATGATTTATTCCACTAAATATAATTTATCCCTCTCAATCTTATAAATAATCTCATAAAAAATAATTCAGCAACCAAACTTAATTATTATTTGTTACCAACTAGTAACTAATAAAAACGAGCTCACAATTTATTTACTAGGGGACTAATTTGAAGTATCATATAACTAATGTTATATAGTACTTTAAGATTATTAAACAATTATTAAAAAATCAAAATTTTTAAAAACATAAAATAAAAAAGTGCAAAATAGAACAGATTCCTCAAAACGCAGATATAAACGCAAACTCAAAACCATGCAATTGGTGGGTAGGCCCCATGCAATCATCTTTCTCCTCCCTGCAACATGAACTTCAAAGCCACACAAATTTGATTTGTTGTTAGAAAAATGCCTAAAACCACCGGTGGCGACTGGGGTCATGAAGGGAGACTTTTCACTGGTCAAAAAAAAAAATAGTTTTTTTTTTTTGCACATAATATTTTTTTTTAAAGTTTTTTCAATTTGAAAGTTGATGTTTTAAAGTTTTTAAAATCAAAATAAATGTCAAATCATTTTGTTTCTTCATAGATAATCATAAATGATGAACAATCATTGCTTGAATGGCAATTCTAACTGTTAAAAATTTAATGAGACTTGAAGGTCTAATAGTTAGGACTTAATGGAGTATAAGTTCATTAATTAGGACTTGTGTAAATGACCCTTAAATTAATATGGAAAAAAACAATATACTTAGAATGATAATCTATATTTATAACTTATCTATAAAAGCAGCAAAACTGAGTATAACAACAAGCAGTGGAAATGGCCAATTCACCCTCCTTGAAGATTGCCGAGCAAGCTCTTAATCAATTCGTGCTTTTCTAGCAAGTTGTTCATCAACTCGTGCCACCTGTGTCGCTGCAGCTTTTCACCCAGGGTTGTTCCACAAGTTTTGAGATCTTAAGAGTTGTAAATTGTTTACTTGCGTTGTTGCAAATTACTCTAAGCTTTGTCAAAGAAATAGAAGAGGTATGCTTCTTCTTCCATTTCTATTTTCCAGTTGTTGTTAAATCCATTTTTATAAAAAAATCTATTTTTAAAATTATAAGAATAATAATAAATTTTAAAATGGATTGTATTATTGTACAATATTACTTTTCTTAATAACAGCTAGAACAAAAATTTCAGTAAAAGCTACAAATTTTATTTAAAAATGAAAGTGCAATCTATTGCAAATTTAATTTTATAATTAAACAATTCGTAATTATAATTTACTCAAAAAGAAAAAAAGACGAATCAAAGACTCAAATATATACAAAATGCTTTTTTTTTCTTTTCTTTTATCCATTTATTTCTCGATTATATTTTTGCTTTTAGTATATATATATATATACACACACACATTCTATACATATATCTATCATCACGGTCTGTTACGCGCGGTAAAAATCGGAAATCCCCGATGCGAACCAGAGCTCCTCGTTGAATCCGTCCTGCAAATCGTCGGGTATGAACTGGGTCCGACAGAGAGGACAGGTCCAGTGGTCGTGGTCCATCCACGGGTCGATGCAGCTCCGGTGGAAGACATGGTGGCAGTTGATCAGATACCGGATCTCATCGTCTCCGTCAAACTGGTGAAGACACACCGTGCAGCTCTCGGGCTGGTCGACCAGATCCGAGAACTTCACCACCGGCAGGAGCTCCCGGATCAGCACCGCGGACACTGAGGGGCATTCGGGTCGGGGCTGCCACGCAATGTCTGGCTCCAGAAAATGGGGGAGACCCAGAAATCGGAACAGCGATGAGGCCAGTTTTTTTGCGAAATTGAGTGCGCAAAGTGTGTGGAGGAGGAGTTTTGGGACGAGAAGTTCCGAATAATCTACTGGAAAACCCATCGCTTGCTTGAAATTTTCAGAGAGACAGAGAGATTGTAGTTTGATTCGTATTCGACTACTAGTGCTCTGTGTGTGCTATACATATATATATATATATGCACATTACAGATATTGGAAGGCAAAGACGATTGAGGTTTGCATTGGTTTCACGGAGATAGAGAGGGAGGGAGGGCCGTGTGAGGCAAGGCCCTGCGTTATATAGCGGGCGTGCCGTGTGGTGTAAAACTGCGTTGCATAAGTCAAATTTATTTTAAGGTTAAATATATTTTTAATTTTTAAAATATAAAAATAATTATAAAAAAAATCTAAAATAATTTGATTATTGTAAAATATAAATCCTGAAATTTTAATAATGAAAAGTGACAGTAATCACATGAGAAATTTATTATCGCATTGTAATTAATGCTAGTTTAATAATAAAATATAGCTCTTATGGTGTGCGAATGTATTTTTAATTATTGAAATACGAGTACGGCTAGAGATCTTAAAAAATTTGTTAAAATTTTTATCAAATATTTCATATGAGTGTAGTTTGTAACATTTTTTCCAAATGGGTTTGCAATAGAAAACTCAAACATAATCCCTTATAGTTATTATTTTGTTCGTTTGTGTTATGTCATGTATTTTTAATATTTTATTTTGTAGGTAAATTACGGCAGTATTATATGATAGGCTTAAATACTTATAAGTTTGGTATATTTTTTTAATGCATTAATAAGTTTCAAAATATTTATTTTGTCTTAATAACACTTCGATAGGTGAAAAAAACAAGAAAATGTCTTATAAGTCTCCTTATCTATTTACATGAGAAGGTCCATAAAATGAAATTTGGAGGCATTGCACATGAGGCCCTTGAGTATTCCAGCCCAGTAGGTAGACGAGGAACTTGATATAAGAACCCATCAAGCCCAACCCACCTTCATATTCAAACACAAATGAATTGGGCGACCTGTGTAAAGGTGGTAATAAGTGCAATTATTGTGTAATAATTTTTATGAGAATTAATGGTATTTTTCATCAAATATTATTAAAAATTATCATTAATTATTAATTTTAGCGATAGTTTAAAGATTTTGTCATAAAAAAATGTCGCTAATTATAAATTTTAGCGATAGTTTAAAAAGTCGTCACAAAAAGACGTCACCAAGTTTCAACTTTTACTAACAGTTTAAAAAAATCATCATAGTAAAACGTCACTACTTATAAGTTTTAACGATAATTTATAAAAACTGTGACAAAAAAGTCATTAATTGTTAATTTTTAACAACAAATACAAAAAATATCACAAAAAATTATTTTTAGCGACGCTTTTATTAATACTTATTTTTAATAAGATTTGATGAGAATTAAATACAATTATTAGAAATTATTGATAATTTATCTTATATTTTAACCACTCAGGCGGTGGTGTTCAAAATTGTCATGTTGGCCGATGATAAATTAGGAGTAATTAATAGCATTGAAACAATCAAACCCACCTTCATATTCAAACACTCAAACACAAATTAATTGATATATATATATATATAAATTTTAAAATGGATTGTATTATTGTACAATATTACTTTTCTTAATAACAGCTAGAACAAAAATTTCAGTAAAAGCTACAAATTTTATTTAAAAATGAAAGTGCAATCTATTGCAAATTTAATTTTATAATTAAACAATTCGTAATTATAATTTACTCAAAAAGAAAAAAAGACGAATCAAAGACTCAAATATAAACAAAATGCTTTTTTTTTCTTTTCTTTTATCCATTTATTTCTCGATTATATTTTTGCTTTTAGTATATATATATATATACACACACACATTCTATACATATATCTATCATCACGGTCTGTTACGCGCGGTAAAAATCGGAAATCCCCGATGCGAACCAGAGCTCCTCGTTGAATCCGTCCTGCAAATCGTCGGGTATGAACTGGGTCCGACAGAGAGGACAGGTCCAGTGGTCGTGGTCCATCCACGGGTCGATGCAGCTCCGGTGGAAGACATGGTGGCAGTTGATCAGATACCGGATCTCATCGTCTCCGTCAAACTGGTGAAGACACACCGTGCAGCTCTCGGGCTGGTCGACCAGATCCGAGAACTTCACCACCGGCAGGAGCTCCCGGATCAGCACCGCGGACACTGAGGGGCATTCGGGTCGGGGCTGCCACGCAATGTCTGGCTCCAGAAAATGGGGGAGACCCAGAAATCGGAACAGCGATGAGGCCAGTTTTTTTGCGAAATTGAGTGCGCAAAGTGTGTGGAGGAGGAGTTTTGGGACGAGAAGTTCCGAATAATCTACTGGAAAACCCATCGCTTGCTTGAAATTTTCAGAGAGACAGAGAGAGAGAGATTGTAGTTTGATTCGTATTCGACTACTAGTGCTCTGTGTGTGCTATACATATATATATATATATGCACATTACAGATATTGGAAGGCAAAGACGATTGAGGTTTGCATTGGTTTCACGGAGATAGAGAGGGAGGGAGGGCCGTGTGAGGCAAGGCCCTGCGTTATATAGCGGGCGTGCCGTGTGGTGAAAAACTGCGTTGCATAAGTCAAATTTATTTTAAGGTTAAATATATTTTTAATTTTTAAAATATAAAAATAATTATAAAAAAAATCTAAAATAATTTGATTATTGTAAAATATAAATCCTGAAATTTTAATAATGAAAAGTGACAGTAATCACATGAGAAATTTATTATCGCATTGTAATTAATGCTAGTTTAATAATAAAATATAGCTCTTATGGTGTGCGAATGTATTTTTAATTATTGAAATACGAGTATGGCTAGAGATCTTAAAAAATTTGTTAAAATTTTTATAAAATATCTCATATGAATGTAGTTTCTAACATTTTTTCCAAATATAATTGGGTTTGCAATAGAAAACTCAAACATGATCCCTTATAGTTATTATTTTGTTCGCTTGTGTTATGCCGTGTATTTTTAATATTTTATTTTGTAGGTAAATTACGGCAGTGTTATATGATAGGCCTAAATACTTATAAGTTTGGTATATTTTTTTAATGCATTAATAAGTTTTAAAATATTTATTTTGTCTTAATAACACTTCGATAGGTGAAAAAAACGAGAAAATGTCTTATAAGTCTCCTTATCTATTTACATGAGAAGGTCCATAAAATGAAATTTGGAGGCATTGCACATGAGGCCCTTGAGTGTTCCAGCCCAGTAGGTAGACGAGTAACTTGATATAAGAACCCATCAAGCCCAACCCACCTTCATATTCAAACACAAATGAATTGGGCGACCTGTGTAAAGGTGGTAATAAGTGAAATTATTGTGTAATAATTTTTATGAGAATTAATGGTATTTTTCATCAAATACTATTCAAAACTATCACTAATTATTAATTTTAACGATAGTTTGAAGATTTTGTGTTAAAAAAATGTCACTAATTATAAGTTTTAACGATAGTTTAAAAAGTCGTCACAAAAAGACGTCACCAAGTTTCAACTTTTACTAACAGTTTAAAAAAAACGTCATAGTAAAACGTCACTACTTATAAGTTTTAACGACAATTTATAAAAACTGTGACAAATAAGTCATTAATTGTTAATTTTTAACAACAAATACAAAAAATGTCACAAAAAATTATTTTTAGTGACACTTTTATTAAGACTTATTTTTAATAAGATTTAATGATAATTTATCTTATATTTTAACCACTCAGGCAGTGGTGTTCAAAATTGTCATGTTGGCCGATGATAAATTAGGAGTAATTAATAGCATTGAAACAATCAAACCCACCTTCATATTCAAACAATCAAACACAAATTAATTGATATATATATATATATACACATATATTTTAACCACTCACGCAGTGGTCTTCAAAATTGGCATGTTGGCCGATGTAGGAGTACTTAATAACATTGAAACAATCAAACTTCTTGGTTGATGGGGGTGAAAAGCGATTTAAACCTGATCATACCCTAGTGATTGCTTTGGAATTTTTAGACACTTGCCTGCCATCATTCACATTAATCCTGAAAATATTATAGGGAGAGTGTTATGATTATTCCTTGCATGGAATTTTCTATTTATTTTATTGTATCTTAAAATATTCATAATTATTATATTATGTCTCGAAATTTTTACCCCATTCAATATTTATAAATATTTTAAAACAGAAGAATAAAAAATATTAGGTCTCCACACCACCTCACTCACCAACTTCTTCACCTACCACCTTCTTCTCACAAGTATTTATCATCATTGTAGCTTTAAAACTTGCTACTTAACTTGACAGAGGTCATTTACTTGCTCTGTTGAAATTTGTTGTCAAAGGGTGATGATGACATATACAAATGAATGGTGAGCATGATTTGAATTATAAAACTAAATATAAATATAATTTAATTAAGGGGTTATAAATATTCGATTAATTTGATTTTTTTATAAGCATGTTCTACTCTATATACTTTAAAAAAATGAACGAATCAAATTATCGAAATAAGATTCGAAATGAACTCCATCGATTGCATAACAGTGATTGTTATACATTTCGCACAACCGTCACTCCGATTTCAAGACGATGTACGTTGCTCTCTTGAAATTTGTTGGTAAAGAAGGATGACATACATGGTCTTTACTTTTTATTTTTCAAGCAAGTACTTAACATTCAAAAAACAGAAAAAATACATAACAAAAGTTTCATAATAGGTTAAAAAAAAGACTATTCTAACCTTTCAAAGGGGTTCCCATTCTTGAAAACGTATAAATTTGGGGACAAGTCTTATTTCAATTGCTCAACCAACAAGCTAGAAGGGAAAGGAAAATGAATGCATAGTTTAGTGTTATGTTATGGATTTCAAAATCTGGTCTTATTTGTTTTCATAAGTAAATTGAAATGAATTGATAGTGAGGGAATTAAGTAAAATTGTATTTGTTTTTATAATAACTATTAGTGTGGAGATTGTTAAATTATTTAATAAAACAAATAAAATGATGATTTTTACTTAACAAAAAACAACCATGATACAGGCCCTCATTATCCCCCACCTCCACTACCCCATACACACATGGGGTTAGTGATTGGATAGAGAGAGAAAAAAAAATAAAATTTGACCAATAACTGCTCACTGGGAGTCCCAAGCATTATGTAACAAAAAATATAAAAATATTAAACATTAATGTTCAAAATGTGTTGCTCAACATGTAAAAAAAAAAAAAATTACACTTAGTCGGTTGACCGGCAAGATGTCCAACCAGACGACTGATAATATTCTAAACCGAACAGATTATTTTTTAATATCATCTTCTCGCCCAAATTGTAATCCGTTAACCTAAGGCGTTTCGTAGATGAATCTGGATCTCCATAAATGAAAGAAATATAATAATTTACGTTCACTAGTCATCACTAGGATTGACTCTGTGACGGAAAACAAACGGAGCTTATGAAGAACCATAGAAGCATTTGATGGGCCCACAGATGTTCATGCTATGCACTACAATATACTTTTTTATGGGCCCTTTATGCCCAAAACAATTTGGAAGATGATGATTGATTACCATGTGGTCAGACTTTATTTATGACTTTTCTTCTTCTTTTGATTAGTATCTTCCTTTCCACATATTCACTCAAAAAAAAAAAAAAAAATCTTCCTTTCGACATGGATGGGACAGTGAAACTGTTGGACCAAAATCACTGCTATCATATATGGCCCAAGGGCCACCACTAATTTGGCCCACTTCAATTACTAGTTTTGCTATAAAATATTTCTTAATTAACCCCATGGCTATCCTTTTGATTATTATTAAGAGAAAATTGATAATAAATTCAATTTAGAAAGTGTCCAAGACATTAGATCTAGTGTTTTTTTTTTTTTAATTGGCAAGAGGTCTATCTTTTGTGAAATAGTTTGGTGAGAGGTCATTTTACTTATTTTGAAGAATATTTTATTTCTAATTTTATCTTTTAATTTATCTGTTGTCTTTCATTAACTATTTGTTCAAATTATTTTTTTTATCTGTTGAAATTATTTTTATCTGTTCAAAAATTTTATTTGTTAAAATTATTATTTGTTCAATTTTTTTTTATCTGTTGAAAATTTTTGTATCTATTCAAATTTATATTTATTTGTTCAAATTTTTTGACTATTTATTCAATTTTTTCCCTTTATCTGTTTAAATATCTGTCTAAATTTTATTATATATTCATTTTTTCCTTATTTATTTAAATCTCTCTATCCGAATTTTATTTGTTCAACTACAATAACAAATCTATCTGTTGAAAATCTAACAACAACAACAAATCAACAAATCTATCTATTAAATCTCTCTCTCTCTCTCTCTCTCTCTCTCTCTCTCTTTTTACTATCTATTTGTTTAATTTTATTTTCTATCTGTTGAAATTCTATTAATTTTTTTGTTTATCTGTTGCAATCATCATCATTATCAACATCATTTTTTTCCAGATCTGTGTCATACATATATACACTCATAGATATATATACATACACTCACAGATATATATACACTCAAGATATACATACATACACACACTTATATATATATATATATATATATATAAGTCATATAAGTCTAAATACAACTAGACATCAAATACTAACATACATACACATACATACATACATATATACATACATCTGTCCAAAACATAACAGATTTCAGTGAATCGACATCTTCATCGCCAATATGAGAACAAATCTTAGTGAATCAACACATGGACAGATCTTGGTGACGGTGAAAGAGTCACCGGATTCCCATGAGTAACACTAGTAAGCGATGTTGAAACCTTAGCGGCGGTGTCTGCGATCTTTGATGTACCTGAAGTTGTGAAAGAAACGACGAATGGTTTTTTCATGGTGGAAGAGATCGACGATTAAGAAGCGATCACAATCGCTATGGGTGTTGAGCTTGAACTGGAAGATTATGGTGGAAATGAAATTAACGCTATGTGGGAGCTAACAATGGAGCAGATCTTAGGTTCAAAACTCCGGTATTCAATGTGATCGATGGCTAAATCAAAGGAGAAAAAGCCTTCAGTGACGGGCGAAGGCGGCGGCAGAGGGGAGAGAGAGAGAAAGAGAGAGAGAGAGAGTGAGGGATTTTGGCACCGTGTATGTCATAAATAGTTAGAGGGTATTTTGGTCATTTTATCTCATCTTGTACTTTTGGACAATGGCCCCGTTTGGTAGAGCTGTGGAAAAGTGATTATAGATTATACCTTAACAGATTATGGCTTATAGGTGTGAACATAAGCTGTTAACCTGTTTTGTGCAGCTGTAAGATTATGGATTTAAGCAGCAGAGTAGTGTTTGGTTAATAAACTTTTACTGTATAATTGTCATTTCTGCCTTTATATGATATAAAAATATTTTTTTTGTCATTTTTTTTCAGTTTTAATTTCTAAAAAAATATTTCATTAATAAAAGTTAATATAATTAGTATCAATTAATATAAAAATTGATACATTTGCTAAAAATGTAATGGAAGTATTATTGTCA